AGAGAGAGAGAGAGAGAGGTCAAGGGGGATGGGATGTACCCAAGGCCGAACCACGTGGATGCAGGAGGACTAGCTGTAGCTTCCCATCTGGTTCCCAGACTTGGGGCACGAGATCTTGGCGATATTTTTGGACAGAATGTCGTTGACGACGGCGTACATGTTCCTTACGTCGGTGAGTTGCATCTTTAGTCTGTAGACCGACTTTCTGTCGTGTTCTCGAATGGCCTCTGCGTAGTCTTGGACTCCTGGGAATCTGACGAGTTTGGCGGCCATATCTCCGCGTGCAGAATGGTAGGTGTAGGGTGTTGCGATGAGGTTGTATGCTGCGTCCTGCGAGCGTACGATTTCGTTGAGCGCCTCTTCTTGGATCGAAACGCCAAACGTATCGCCGTCTTCGATCTGGGGCATCTGCAGGTTGATGTACATCTTGAGTGCGTCCATGAGCTCGATCAACTCGTCCCACTCGGCACGCAGCTCGTCGAATGCCTTGCTGAGGTAGACAGGTGTCTTGACGATGCCCGTAAAGACGTGTGCGGATTCTTCGTGCGAGGGAGTCTCGCCATTCACCGAAGCACTGTCCGTCTTGCGCTTCTTACTTGACGGAACATCCAAGTCGCTGGAAGACGAAGAGGCGGGGTAGACCGTGACATCGGTCCCAATGGCAGAAGGTTCGTAGTAGCGGCTCTTGGAGAAGAGGTGCTCCTTGTTCGCGTCTACCTCGGCGATCTTTGCGTTGAGCGAGAGGATCTTGCCAGGCAGCGTCTTTTGGATGATGTTGATCGCCTTGTCGCGGATGCTTTGCTGCCAGGCTTCGAGCGCGTCCTTGGTGGACTGCTCGAATTGGAGCTTCACTGCGACCTTGGACATGCTCGCGGCGGAAGGATGTGTTGTTCGGAGTGGCTGTGGACAGGAAGAAAGCTGGCCAAAGGGTCCACGACAGGCTGACGACGACTCCACTTTGGCGGCAAAATTTGTGGCTCAGCTCCGCGGCCACAGAGGGTTGGGAATGGACTTAACAATTGGCTGATTTTGGGAAGCTCGCGCACCGACCAACACCCGCTCGCTCGGCTTCGCCTGTCCTCCTTGTGACCCTCCTGACCTCATCATCCGCACACACCACAGCAGAAAGCACTCCGATAGCGGCAACATCGCATAGCCTCCAGGTACTTCCCGCAGCGTCGACGCAAGAGGCGATGATCTGGCAGCTCTGATCCACCTCAACTCTGCTCGAAGGTCGCTTCCGAGCTAGACCGTCACAATGAGCCTGCAGTTCGACGAGGCCGAGCTGCTCAAGGCGTACAATCTCGACTCGCTCGAGCCTTCGCAATGGCACACAACCGAGGCCGAAGCCGATGCCAAGGGCGCTGCATCGTCCATGGGTGTGGCAGACGAGCCCGACCCGCTCGGCCTGCGTTCGTCAATGGCCACCTTCCGCGGCCTGCCCAAGGACGTCAAGACGCAGACGTCGCTCTCCTCCAAAGCCTTTGATGCCAAAGTCTTCCTATCCACCGTCCACCCCGACGCGACTTTCGCCGATCTGTCGCACGGCATTCTCCACCTCAAGAACAGTATCGACCAGCGCTCCGAGGCGCTCAAGGTGCTGGTCGAAGACAACTTCGACCGCTTCGTCGCCGTCAAGGCCACCACCGACGGCGTCTTTCGCGAGATGCGCGACACCGAGTCTGGACCACTGCAGCCCCAGGCGGACTATGGCGTGGCGTCGCTCAACACCATCCTCGCCAACGCCTCGGCCAAGGCGGACCAGGTGTTCATGCCCGTGCTCGAGAACAACCTCAAGACGATCAAGCTGCGCTCGACGCTGGGCGTATTCGAGCGCTCCAAGTTCTTCTTCAACCTGCCGGGCTCGCTGTCCGAGTCGGTCGAGAGCGGACGCTACGACATGGCGCTGCGCGACTACAAAAAGGGCAAGTATCTGCTCGACAGTCGACCGGGCCAGCTGCTGGCGGTGGGCAGCGCCAAGCCGCCCGAGTCCGCCGGAGGCGCGCGCGGCGATGTGCAGCAGAAGCGCGTCTTCGCCAAGGTGTGGGATGCGGTGGAGGCCACCATGAAGGACATGCAGAGCCGGCTCACCGCACAGCTGCGCGAGCCGCGCCGCAGCGTCGACGAGCAGGAACGCACCATCGAGATCCTGCTCGAGCTCGATCCCACGGACGACCCCGTGTCGATCTATCTCGAGGCGCAGCATCAGCATCTGCGCAGCGTCATGCGCAACACCTTCGACGCTGGCGTGAGCCGCATCGAGGCGACGCGCGCGGCGCAGCGGCCGTCGAGCAGCGTCGCCGAGCGCGACCGCGCGCGCGACCTGCAGAAGAGCATGCGGCTCACCGGCCAGCTCGACGCCAGCTTCGACAAGTGCACGGGCGCCGACGAGTGGCGTGCGATCCGCGACCTGGTCAAGGCGCTCTCGGACACCATGCTCGGCGGCCTGCCCAGCTTCTGGCGTGTCGCCAAGAACCACGCCGAGGGCAAGTTCATCAAGACCAAGGCGCGCGCTGGTGCGGGCGCGGGCGGGGACAAGGTGTCGGCGCAGAACAAGGCATGGGCGGTCGAGGCGCTCGAGGCGTACATCAGCCTGGTGTCGCATTTGTTCTCGCTGACGGACGTGTCGATCTTGATGCGCCAGCCGCTGCCGCCCGTGGCGGCGTGGGTGCCTGCGGGGACGAGTTCGGCGACGGCGGCGCACTTTCTGCGCGAAACGCTGGCGCACATCGTGGATGCGTGCAACGATCTGGCGGCGCTAGGGATCGCGTCGGCGACGACGCTGCGTGCGCTGCTCACCAATGCGCGCTTCTGCTTTGTGCAGGTGGTGTGCGTGCTGTGGCAGGAGGACGCCAAGATCTTCCACCTGCTCGAAGACTGGACGCTGAACCCGGACGAGCAGGCCACCACGCTGCATCTGCGTGCCATCGCTGCGTTCCACAAGAGCAACGCGCGCCAGGCATTTCACCTCGCAGGAGGGCGTTCGGCCTCGACACCGGTGTCGGCGCTCGAGGCGCGCGGCAAGAACCGCGCCGCAGAGCAGCCTGTGGCGAGCGAGTTTACGACGCGCATCAAGGGCGCGTTCCTCGATGCGCTCTATGCCTTTCTCGACGGCATGGTGCAGTTGGCCTTTTCCGAGTACAGCCCGCTGGAGCCGCGAACGGCGTTGTCGGTGCAAGCCGTTCCGGGCCAGCCGGGCAGTTCGGTCGACGTGCGCGATCTCGACACACGCGTGCTGTTGAGCGTGACGAATCTGGCGCACCTCACGCGCAGCGTAATCCCCGGGTTGGTCAAGCAGTTCTCGGACGCATACGCCGTCAAGATGGACGACGACCTAGCGACGCTGGCCGAGGTGGCGGTGCAACTCGATGCGATCCTGTTCAACGACTATGTGCAGCGCAAGTCGGGCGCTCTCTCGCACATCATCTCTCGGGGGATCCTCGAGTCGGGCATTGACTGGGCGTCGATCCCGAAGCCTAGTGGGGTGCATGCGTTTATCTACGAGGCGCTGCTGTCGCTGGTTGAAGTGCACGCGCACGTGCGCAGTATCGCCAAACCACTCGTCACGCGCACCATCACCACACTCGTCGACGATCTCACCGCCACCACCCTCGACGCCTTCCAGCGCATCGCGAGCTTCGGCATGGGCGGTATGCTGCAAGCTACACTCGAGATCGAGTTTCTCCATCAGACGCTGGCGGCCTACATCTCGCCACAGGCCGAACAGAGGCTCAAGGACGTCTACGAGACCATCTCGCACAACTACGTGCGCACATCGCGCGACAAGGACACGCTCAACGCGGAGCTCGAACGCGTCAAGCAGATCCTCGTCCACACGCGCAAGTCGACCGCACTCGAGTTTCTCTGCTTCCGCAAAAACAGAGTCGCCCCACCAAAGGACAAGGCTTCCGACCAGTAGCTTCCGCACCGAGGCGAGCACATTCCACACACAACGTCGCACATCTTGGGATCTGCCTGTTGCAGTGCCATTGGGAAACTGTACACATGAGAAAGTAGGAGCCATAGTGGTGGTGATGTGAAAGCGCAGAAACGCGTTGGCGAGAGGAGAAAAGCTGCGGTGGTGCTCTCCGGTCGTGCCTCTTGCGTTGGCTGACAATTTTTGGAGGAAACTGGGTTGAGGGTCCAAGAGGGTGGGGGGACGGGTCTATTGCGATGCTGACAATGCTGGTGGTGCGGATCCGGGGAGGGTATCGGGGATGATGGGGGCGACCTGTTTATTCCCCTCGGCCATGAAGCGCTGCATGAGCACACCCACGCCCTCGAAGACACCGAGCAGAATACCGCACATGATGCCCGACCCAACAGCGGTCTTGGGACCCGATCGGATAGCCAGGCCGCCTCCGGTCATGAAGCCTGCGATGATGGCGTTCCAGGGATCCTCCTTTTGACGGATGCCCTTGACGGCGCAGTCGAACGAGGAGAACATGCCGCCCCACACGCCGAAGTTGCCTCCGAGCACGGGTGCGCGCGCCTTGATCGCCGAGAGCGAGCCTGGAAGACGCTCACCGCGCGGGCTGTTGCGGGCACCCTTGATGCCGTGCCAGATGGTGCCGCCTACGGCACCCATGGCAAACGCACCGCCAAAGTCGTTCAGGATGACCCATGGACATGGGTCGCGCGTGTGGTCGGCGTGCGACATGCTGTGTGGTTATCTGCAGGCACGAGCTGCTGGATTTGCTCGATGCGAAAGTAGACAAGTGAGGCTCGGGGCTCGGCGTGGCGATGCGATGCGTGCGAGACCAAGCTGGGTTGCGTAGCTGTGCCGTCCAGTGCCGATGCGAGCTCTCTGAATGCTGTGCTCCTTGCGATCTGCTTCGAATGCTGGAACAGCTGCCGTGAAGCTGTGTGCAACTCGAGCTGCACTTAGGTTCGGCGAGCGAGACACAGGGAGCGTCCGAGTGTGCTTCCGTGGTAGGCGCTGCGCAAAATCGCTTTGGCTGAAGCTCTCTGGGCTGGTGCCAAGTGTGCGTCGATGCTGTTCGAGCTGCTGAAGTACGACTCGACGGGTTGATTCGACGGTCGAAGCGATGAGGTGATGGACAGGTGTAGGTGCAGAAACAGATGGTGATTCGCTCGCAGCGGCCGACTCGGGCCCACAGCCGGAAGAACGCGAAGGCTGAGCCAAGAATCGGCCTCAATTTCCAACCACTTTTTTTTTTCCCCCTCGTCAAAGTCGGCGCCGGCTGTCGTCAGCCTCTGAGCGGAGAGAGCGAGAGAGTAAAGATTTTATCGGCCCCCACCGCCGCCAACGCCTGCGAAATTCGTGCCAAAATCGGGCATCCCGCTCTTGTGACCCGCATCAACCTCCACGGCCGCTTCCGATTTTCTCCAGCGTGTAAGATTCACTGGAGCCGGTTTCGCGCGAGAGAGAGCCGCATCCAACGCCCACTCGCACCCACACACTTCACTTTGGTTCAGTCGAGGCTCTAAGGCATCATGACATTGCAACTTCTGTATAAATCTAGGCATCCATGGCCTTGCGGTTGATCTGGGGTGTCTCCTTGGGGTCGACATAGGGCACGTGGCCCAGACCGAGCTTGTTGCCCAGCAGCTTCCAGAAGGGCACGCCCGACGGGTGATAGCTGCCGTTCTTGAGGCCCGTAAAGGTAAAGTCTTCCCACTTGGGGAAGTGCGAACGCAGCATAAACTTGACCTGCCAGTCGGGCTGCATCGACGTAACACGTCCACTCTTGGGGTCAATGTACCAGCTCTGTGGACGACACAAACGAAGAAAGAATGTCAGCAGTGAGCTCCTCGTCACGTCACGAGTTCAACTGGTCGGGGTATGGGAGATGACGCACCTTGCAGCCACTGGTGAAGACGAGCTGGGACATGGCTTTGGCGATAAAGTGCTGTTCGTCCAGCTCGGCCTTGAGCTTGACCTGGAACGTGGGGATCTTGGCCCGCTGCACGCGCTCGTCGGCCGGGGTGCCGGGCATGTGCTCGATGGCCAGCTGCGGCGGGCGTGCAGCGGCGAGCACAGGCTTGGCCACCTCGAGCAGGAAGTTGACCGTGCATTCCGAGGCAAAGATGAGGCTCTGGTTGCCCGTGCCCGTGTTGGCGGCGTTGATCTGGCCCATGTTGGGGAAGCCGGCGTTGAGCGCCGAGCGGTAGGCGATCATGCCGCCCTCGCCGTACTTGGCCCAGTGCTCGTGGAGCGATCGGTTGGCGCCGATGATCTTCAGCGGTGCGCCTGCAGCGTGCGGCTCAAAGCCATTGGCCATGACAATCACATCCGCCTTGATGCGACGTCCGTCGGCGGTGACGACGTGGTGCGGCTCAATGCGCTGCACCTTGGTGTTGTCCACCTTGACGTGCGGCTTGCGCAGCGCGGGATAGTAGTCGTCGTCGATGATGCGGCGCTTGCATCCGACCATGAGCTCGTCCTTCTTGGGTAGCAGCATGTCCCAGTACTCCTTGGGCGCGTTCTTCTTCAGGTGCGCCTCGCACTTGCGCCGCCAGTTCCAGCGGAAGAGCCGGCCCAGCGGGTTCTGCAGGATGAGGATAAAGTGCGACTCGAGAACGAGCCAGATGAGCAAACGCTGCAGCTTGCGCACAAACACCGACTTTTGCAACAGCCACTTGAAGCCCGGGATGTTGTCGAACGGATTGTGCGGATGCGGTGCAATCCAGTGCTTGGAGCGGATGAACTGCGTGAGCGACTTGGAATGCTCGGCCAGGTACGGCACACACTGGGTTGCCGAGCATCCGTTGCCGATCAGCACGACGTCCTTGCCGTCCAACGACACCGAGTGATCCCACTTGGCCGTGTGGAAGATGGGTCCCTCGAACGTCTCGTTGCCTTCAATGTCGCAAGCCTTGGGCTGCGAAAGGCCGCCTACAGCACTGACGAAGAACTTGCAGACAAAGTGGTGCTTTTCGCCGTCGGTGCCGTCCTTGCGCCAGTCCTGGCTCCACACGTGCCAAAGACCCGTCTCACCGTCGTATCTCGCCTCCTCCACGGTGGTCTGGAAGTGAAAATTCTTTTGAAGGTCGTGCTCGGCTGCAACCGTGCCAAAGTAGTGCTTGAGCTCCTTCTGCTGCGGGTAGAACGTCGACCAGTTGCCCTTGGTGGCAAACGAAAACGAGTAGACGGGCGCCGGCACATCGCATGCACAGCCCGGATAGGTGTTGTTGGTCCATGTGCCTGCCGGATCCTCGCTGCGTTCGAGAATCTTGATGTCGTGAATGTTGAACTTGCGCTTGAGCTGGCAAGCCATGCAGATGCCGGAGATGCCTGCGCCCACGATGACCACATCGTGGTACTCGGGCGTGAGCACTGGCTGCTCGCACGGTGGCAGCGACTCGACCATCGTTGGTTTGCTAAAGTCAGAGAGGCGAAGCGCGGTCCTGACGAGGAAGATATGGCACTGCAAAGATGGAGACGAGAAGTTGTATGTGCAGTGGCGGTAAGTACCTTGAGAGCGAAGGAGGAGGGCTTCGAAGATGCAGCGCTGCAGATCAGAATCGCGCCTCTGTGCGGGGAAAGCGCGAGGTGTCCACCGCCGACAGGTCGCCACCGCCCAGCGACCAAATCCTCGATTTCGGCTTTCACACGCGCCGCGCACGTCAGCACAGCGGCGCCGTCGATCCTGCTCTTCTCTCAAAATCAGGCTCACCACGTCCAGACCGCGCTGCAGACCAAGACTCGTAGGAACGGGAAACGACAGTATATGGAAGAGCACGAGACCGAATCAAAGGTACAAAAGGATTGTTCGTAAGCCGAGGCTGAGCAAGCTTAGCACAGCAGCTTGAAAAATAAGGCGAAAGAAAAGCAGAAGCAGAGCGGCGGGCGCCACTGCTGCTGCGAGAGGAGAGAAGCAGATGGCAAGACCCCATCTGAGTTACTCCATTCCAGAGCTAAGCAAAATAGCGCACAGAGTCGCGCTTAGTTGTGCGAGGTGAGGCTCCACTGGCTGAGAGGGACCGACTTGGGCGTAGCCTCGTCGGCAGCCGAGAGCGAGTCCCACTGCGGCTGCCACAGGACCTGGAGGGTCTGGGCGCCAGACTGGGTGCCGTTAAGGTCGATCTGGAGCGCGGTGACGCCGGTGTTGACCTGGTCCGAGTCCTCGGGCGGCGCACTGTACACGGCTTGGCCGTAGATGCGCGTGGCGGGAGGACCGGTGGCGGTGAACACTGCATTCGACGGGCTCAGGATCTGCACCTTCATCGTCTTGGTGCCGCCGAGGCTCACCTTGCCCACCACGCCGGCGTTGGGGTCAGTGATGGAGCTCTGCGTGAGCGTGGCCGTCTTGCCGTCCGCCGAGAGGCTGACGGTGCCGTTGGTCTGCACACGCCACTTGACGTCGTTGATGGAGCTCGACTGGCCGATCTCATCCTGAACGAGCACCTGTCGGCGTCCGTTGAGCATGCGGATACCTCTCCTCACCGTACCAGCAGCCTGGCTGTAGCAGCTGCTGAGATCGGTGATGAAGTATACAGCGTCGGTGGTAGCTGGCTTGAACGAGAGGTCGCCCGTCTGCGCGACTTCAGTCGAGTTGTAGCTGTTGACGGGCAGGCAGCTGGCCACGTTCTGGTTCTGCATATTGATCACGAGCGTGTTTTGACCGTCGGTGGCCTTGCGGTAGTAGGTCCAGCGATCAGAATCCTGCGTCTCGTTGGAGAAGTAGCCGGTCGAGAGGTAGTTGCCGCTGCCGTACTCGCCAGCCCAACGGGTTCCGAGCGCATCAATGACAAAATCGCCCGCGTCGAGGTCGCCGTGCGTCTGGTGTCCGGTGAGGTTGGAAGCCTTGACGCCGACATAGACGGCGCTAGGATCGGTCCACGAGGATCGCATGCTGACCCACGAGCCGCGCGCGTCGTCAAAGTATCTGTCGAGGGGCAGGCCGTTCCAGAAGGCGCCCTTGGCGGTAGGCTCGTACCAGAACATGCTGAGTGGGTCGAAGGAGGCATCGGCGCGGTCACGCTGGTACACTGCGGGTCGCGCATCGCCGCTGAGCTTCGAGTAGAGCATGAGCTGGTTGGCGGTGGTGGCAAACTTGTTGGGGCCGTTGTCTCCGTACGCAAACAGACCACCGGGGCCCGAGACGTACATGTGGAAGTCGGACGTCTTGTACCAGTTGGGGTTGGTCGCCATCAAGCCCTGATCGGTGCCGGTGGCCGAGATAAGCGACGAGAGGGCTCGTGCCTGGGCGTTGGTGCCAAAGTACCAGTAGTTGGCGGTCTCGGTCCAGGTGCCATCGTCGTACGCGCCTGTCATGCAATTGGCCTTCATGTTGGTGAGGGCCGAGTTGATGATGCTGTCAGCGATGCTGGTCTGATTGGAGTCGCCGTCGCCTCGAATTGCAAGAGCACCAGTGAGCAGGCCGCCATTGCAGACGCAGTTCCAGTTGCCGTCACCGTTGGCGGGGAGCTTCCACCATCCGTCGTCAGTGGCGTACTGGTTCTGACCGGGCACGAGACCATAGTCGACGATGGCGGTGCGAATCATGGACCTCTGATCGTCGGACCAGTCGTTGTAGAGCCAGTCGTAGGCCATGGCGAAAGCCGAGGTCATCTCAGCGACGTCGAGGAAGTGAACCGGGTTCCAATGAGAGCCGTCCTGACCGAAGGGGGTAGCCGTGTTACCAGCGGCGGTGTTAAGCTCGAGGTAGAGGCGGTCCTTGAAGGAGGTGTTGTTGGAGATTTTGTAGGCGTAGGCGAAGGCCTTGACACGCTGTTGGACCTCGCGGCTGACGTCAAGAATGCCCGAGCCATTCGACGGCGGGCCGTCGAAGACGTACTTGACGGGCGGCTGCGAAGCCCAGTTGGTAGCGTTGTTGAAGATGGTGGAGTTCCAGACGGTGAGGTAGGCATCGTTGGCGATCTTGGTGGGCAGGCAGTCCCACTCGGCCTGGGTGGTCATGATACGCGGGTGAGGACGGAGGCTGGTGAGGCTGTTGGTGGCGGACCACGAGTCGGAGCAGGACTGGTTGTGGGCCTGGCCGGAGTAGGCGGCAGCCGAGGTGTCGACGTTGGCCGAGACGAAGGCCGGGTTGCCGTAGGGGTCGGTGCCCTGGTAGAAGAGCATGTTGTTGCCGCCGTTCTTGGCAGCCTGCTGGGCTGCGGTGAGGGCGGCACCCTGGACGTTGGGCGTTGAGCCGCTGCCTACGCTGCCGCTGCCGCTGCTGCTGCCGCTGCCGCTGCTGCCGTTGTCCTTGGCGGCTCGCGCGCCGAAGATGCCACCGACCACAGCGCCGGCGATGATGAGGAGGAGCAGAGGGATACCGAACTTGATCCACTTGGACACACCACGCTTGGGCTTGGCGTAGGAGTAGGTGGCGGCAGCCTGGGTAGCAGCGTTGCGCTGCTGGCCTTGGCCGTAGCCGGCGCCCTGGTTGGCGTAGAGGCCCTCGTGCGACTCCTTATAGGCGGAGCCCTGGTAGCCGGAGGCATGGTCGGGGTAGTCCTGGTATCCGGCGGCGGAAGCATTGCCGCCGCTGTAGCCCTGCTGGTAGGGCTGCTGCTGGTAGCTCTGCGAGTAGCCCTGCTGGTAGCGCTCATCGTACTGAGACGCATTCGAATGGATGTAGGGGTCCTGAGGTCGTTGATACGACATTTTGTACAATCCCTGAAAGTTGGCCTTCTGATTGCGATAATGAGCAACGAAGAAGCGGATCGCCGAGCAGACAAGAGTCGAGGAAGCAGAGATGAGCGACGTGAGCGCGAGCGTGATCTGCCAAGGACAGTGGCGCCAACTTACCTTGACGGGCCAGCGAGTGGGGAAAGTGTGGGTGACGTTGGTGGTGGTCGAGATGAAGCAGCGGGGACCGCGATGCGTGCGAGATGAAGTGAGCTGGGTGCTGCCTCAGGGTCAAGGCCGAGGGATCCACACGAGTTGCAGTGCGTGGCGGTGGGATGATTCGGCGGTCGATGAGAGCTAGCTTGCCAGCGTGAGCCGAGTCGAAGAACACGACCGAGATGCAGCCAAGGAGCAGCGGCCGCTGAGCCACGGCAGCAAGCACGGCACAGCACTGCACACTCTCTTGGCAGCGCCTGGCCGGCACCATTAGCGACAGCCCAAGCGCAGGGACGCGGAGGCACGTCGGGGTGCAGGCACCGGCACTCCGAGGCCAAGCCAAGGCGCGCGTCAGATCGGCGCGAGGAATCCAAAAAAAGGGGGCCAGTCAGCCTTGGATGCCGAGAAAGGGGCCAGTCGGCGTTGTTTTTTTTGTGTGTGTTTTTTTTAAATCGTTTCTCGCACCCTCGGCATTGATCTGCCGCCGCAGCTGCATCCTGCCGTGGCATGGACGCAAAGTTGAACTGCATACAAGTCCTGCTGTATGAATCGGCAAGCGCTCACTTTGAGCACTTGAGTGGGAACGCCGCAACCGAGCCATAAGCAGCCGCGACGGCAAGCTCGGACGAGCCGATCGGCACTCAGGCCGCGCTTCGGCGGGAGGCTCGAGTGGCAGCGTATCGAATTCAAAAGTTTGGGTCTCTGCTAAGCGAAGAACTGCCTCCAAATTGATTTCTCGCCGTGCGGCTCGGTCCAGCTTGAAAATTCAAAAGTGTTGGTTTCTCCAACCCGCTCCGAGCCTTGAGAGCTGTGCTTTGCGCGCCAGGCGTGGCGCCAAGTCCAATTCGCTGTCCGCCCTCTCCGACTCGGGCACGTCAGCCAGGCCAAACAGCAAGCAATCCGCCATCGAGCCGGTAATTCACCGCCTGCCGATGTCCAGATACAATCGGGGCTATCGGGAATGTATTCGCTCGTATCATCGGCCGCGACCGACTCGCTAGTCTCTCCCTTGCCTCTTTCCAGACACACCGTCACGCTGCGTCGTCTCCTAGAAGTACAAGGTTTTCACATTTGATACTGACACCTCCGCTTTGACCATGACCGCCCTCAACGGCGATTCGAAGGGAGGCGCATCGAGCCCGACAGCATGCTCGGGTCCACCGACGCCGGCATCACCTCGTCCTCCGGCACCGGCGAGCGGATGAACGGGCTCGGACTCGCCGAGCCGCGAGCAAGGTGGCTCGAGCCGAAGCCCATGCCCGTCTTGCTGTCAGAGCCGAGCGAGTACATTCCTGCGCCGCTGTGGTCGCCAAACGCAGCCGGCCCAACCAGGCCGCTTGCCGCCATGACGGTGAAGCTGCCGTCCTCGCCACTCGAGCTCTGCGGAATCACCAGCGCATTGCTGCCATGCATCGACGCCTGCACCTCGTCCTCCTTGCGAGCCTCCTCGTCCTTCGACTTGCTCTCTTCCGACTCGATGATCGGCGGCGGCGCCACTTCCGGCACCACCAGGCGTCCCGCCTTCCATCGGGCTCCGCACGCATTGCACAGCTGCGACGGGCCCTTGGGTCCGCGTCGCCACATGGGCGTCTTGGTCTTGCCACAAGCTCCGCAGCTCTTGATCGATCCGTCCGGATTGTGCGTCGCCACATGTCGCTTGCGCTTCGGCGGCTTGGCAGGCGTCGCACCCGCCTCGGTCTGGATGCCGTCCGGCCCAATCACCGTGAGCCCGATGCCTTCGTACGAGAAGCTGACGTCGTCCTCGCGGGCGCCCGCCTTGCGCTTCACCATCGGTCGTCCCGACACGCACTGAGGGCGGACGGCGAATCGATCCTGAAGGTGGTCCTCCAGGCCCTGCGGCAGCAGCGCCGGCGCAACGCGCGGCAAAATGAAGCGTCGGTCGGGCATCTGGCTGTACAGGTCGACAAACGAGTCGGTGGTCTCCTTCTGGAACTTGATCTCCTCCATCGGCAGGTCAAGCAGGTGGTACCGAATCTCTGGCACCAGGAACTCGGCGACGTCCGGCTCGAGCTCGATCTCGGGCTCTCGCTTGACCGGCTGGCATGTCATCGTGCCCGGCACGCGTCCGAACGCCTCCCAGAGGCTCTCGGTCACTCCTCCTTTGATGCTCCATGTAAGAGGGTAGACCTCGTGCTTTTTGCTCAGGTTGAGGTCGGTCATCCCGTTCATGTCGCTAGTTTCTTGCTTGATGGCCTTGCTGCTGCTCTTCTTGCCACCCGTGCTGCCGCTGCCTTTCTTCTTCTTGCCGGACGCCGCCGGCGTGGTCTCGCCGTTCTTGTCCTCGGCCGGAGCCTGCGCCTCGGGTGAAGCTGTCGAGTTGGCGGCCTGAGAAGCGGGGGGCGTCGTCTTGCTTGGATTGAGCCTTGCCTCTTCGGCCGCTTTTCGCTTGAGCTCCTCTTCCAGCTCGCGAAGCCCACTACCGTCCGCCGCGTCCGAGCCGAGCGATGGCGCAAAGAAGCTGAGCTTGAGCTCTGGCTCGATCCTCTGGCTCTCTTCGTCTTCCGAGTCGTTGTCGAAGAAGCTGCGCCTCTCCTTCTTCACCTTGGGGATCGAAGGTCGCTCGATGCCCTCGGTGCGCTCCACAAGGCATTTCCACAGGGGAAGGATGAAGCGCATGCTCGGATTTTCCCGGAACTCGACGATGATGACCGGAGGTTTCGGTGGACCATCAGTTGGCCATCCAGGAGGAGGGTGACGAAGCTTGTTCGAAACCGGCGGCACGGTTGACTGCTGCTGTTGCTGCTGCTTCGGCTGCTTCGGCTGCTTCTCCTTCTGCTGCTTTTGAGCCATCTGCTTGTCGGCCTGTGCCTTTGCTTTCGCCTCGGCCTTGGCCTGCTTCTTTGCCTCGCGTTCCTCGATCTTGGCTTGCTTCTTGCTCGCCTTGGCTGCCTCATCCACTTTGGCCTTTTTGGTCTTCTTACCTGCTGCTGCGTTGGCAGCAGAGGCCCCGTTGCTGGCAGACGAGCCCGCAGCGCCAGCCTTATTGGCAGCAGCTGCGTTGCGTGCCTCGTCCTGCCGGAGCTGGGCCGTGATAGCTTGGATCCATACGCCGAGTGCCTTGAGCTGGTTCGGATTCGCTTTCCCCGACGCGGCGATGTGGAGAAGCTCTTGCAGCTCAGGATTGAGCGCAGCGGTGGCGTTGACTCGCGAGACCAAGACAGCATCGATCGCTGGAGGCGGCGGGACGCCGGCAGGCCGTGGCGGAGGCTGCGTGGACGTAGTAGCGGTTGGAGCGTCAGCGGGCTTGCCGGCTGCTGCCGCTTGAGACGATGGTGCAGAGGTGCTGGTTGCGCTCGGAGCTGCCGGCGTGGTGCTTGCGCTAGCAGCAGGAGCCGCCGCAGTCGCTGACGTCGCTGGACCTGCAGAGCTACTTGCAGTATTGTCTGCTGCCCGCGGGAGGACGGGAGCAATCGCTGAAGCAGGCTTCGCCTGCGTACCAGTGACGGCAGGCGCTTGCGAAGATGCCGTGGGTGCTGTTGCCAATGTGGCAGCGCCGCTGGCAGCAGTCGAGCTGGCTAGCGCATTCGAGGCCATGTGGGCTTGGTTGATGCTTGGCGGTCGAGGAAGCGATGGCGTCGTCATGGGAGGTCGTGGCAGCGACACCGGCAGGGCGATAGGCTTGGGTGTTGCAGCAACAGATGCCGATGTGACCGATGCCGGCTTGGTCTCAGCAGCTGCGCTGGTAGCAGCGCCAGCGTTGCTTGTCGAAGGCACTGCCTTAGCTGCGACGCTGGGCACGGTTGGCTTGGCTGCGATAGCAGGTGACGCGGGGGTCGAAGAAGCAGCCGTTGACGTGCCAGCTGACGTTGCTGGAGCGACGGATGTAGTAGACGGGCCAGGAGCAGTAGGCTTTGCTGGGAGGGTGGAAGCCAAGGCTGGAGATGCAGCTGGTGCGGTCGTCGTCCCTGATGAAGCAGATGCGGACGGTGACGTCGAGACCGGCGGTTTGGAAGGCAGAGACGACCGTGCAGAAGCCGAGCTTGCCACAGGCGTCGCGGGCAGCGTCGGGGTCGACGTCACCACTGGTGCAGCCGGTGCGATAGGTTTTATGACGGCCTGGACCGAAGAGGTGGGCGGGGCGGCAACTGATGTGCTGGCTGTCGATGGAGCCGGGGAGGGACCGCTGGTCTGAGGGGGACGTGCTGGAAGCGGCTTCGCTGACGAGGTCGGAGGCCGCGCCAGGGGAACGCTGGGTGCCGGGATGACAGGAGCTGCTCGTGGCGAAGGAAGCTGGGGAGGCGGAGGTTGCGACATGTGGTGGGGCAGCGGCTGAGATGCCGATAGACGGACGTAGTCGGGAGGGCCTCCGAACGAGCCATGTGCGCGCATGCGTGCGAGCGGATCCATGATCGGCGGCATCTCGTAATCGGGACGGACCTCCCAAAACTTGGTCTTCATGAAAACGTGCGGACCGACGTGGATGTCGGCGCGGCCGAGCTGGATGAGGACGTGCGGCTCTCTCGGGTTGAGGCCGTGGAGCAGGCTGAGTGGGAGGACGTTTGGATAGATCATGCCCGACTTGACGCGTTGGCTGAAGGGCGTCAAGAGAGAGGAGAGGTGCGAAAGGCGCGATTGTCTGAGCGACTGGAGGAGCACGAGGCTCTCTTCGATGGTTGCCGGCTCCCTTCTTCGCCTGCGAGCCTGTCTCCGGCTCTCCTCTGTTTCGCTGTCCAGATCGGATTCGTCGGACAGGACCGAATAGTCATCGCTGTCGCTGCCGGTATCGGGCGATGAGGTCTCGGAAGCGCCCATGGCCATAGCGGACTGCACGCTGGCGTTATCAAGGACCGGAAAGTCGG